CCAGTTGTTACATCAAATAATAAGAAGAAAGATTCATCATCTGATTCAGATTCGTCAGATGACAATAAAAAACAATCTCAAGTTGCTACGAAAACAAATCCGATTTCGTCAACGGTAAAAAAAGTTAGTAGTTCCAGTAGTAGTGATTCAGAAGAAGAGACACCTGTTACACAGAAATCACCAACAAAAAGTAAGTGTCAAGCATTTAAGAATATTGCTTTTCTGTTTTAATCACACATGTTTTATAGCAGCTGGAACTCCAGCAGTGAAACCAGCAGCCATTCCATTGAACAAAAACCAGAAAAAAGCTAAATCATCATCAGATTCAGATTCATCAGACGAGAATGATAAAAAACCATCGGTACCACTTACTAACAAACCGAAAATAACTCCTACTGTAACAAAGAAATCAGCAACATCAAGCAGTAGTAGTGACTCAGATGAGGATAAAAAACAAACAATAACACCACTGAAAGGTATTCTCCTATCTGATCGATATTTCAATTGAATACATTGTTTTTCAGGTGCTGTTGCTGTCACAACTACGAAAAAAGTCGTTGTTCCACAACAATCAACAGCTTTGGCTAATAAAAAAACAAAAGAATCTTCATCTTCCGATTCGTCAGATGATGATACTAATAAACCACCTGCCAAAATTGCTTCAGTTCCAATGAAAAAAACAACTAAACCAAGTAGTTCAAGTAGTAGTAGTGATTCCGATGTAAAACCATCATTAAATAAAAAACAACCACTAACAACATCAGCTAAAGGTAGGATTTCTACTTAATTCAAATTCTCTGTGTAAGTCTCCTTCAATCTATATTTAAAGCTTCTATTACACCCATTGCACCATTAACAAAAAAACCTACGGTTACTACTCCAGTAAATGCTGTTAACAAGAAACAACAAGATACATCATCTTCGTCTGATTCATCAGATGATGATACACCAAAGAAAGCACCAACAAAAGTAACACCAGCAACAAAACCAACACAACCATCAGTTAAAAAACCTGCTTCATCAAGTAGCAGTGATTCAGATGATGATGATAAACCAGCCGTCAAGAAACCAGTCGTATCAAAAAGTACGTATCCTTTTCGATTCATACTTTATGTATTTATTTACATTTGTTCTTTACAGCTACCCCAGTTGTGACAAAAGCTGCAGTACCACCACAAGTTACTGTTTCGAATAACAAGAAAAAAGATTCTTCATCTGATTCTGATTCATCAGATGATAATATACAGAAGAAAGTACTAGCAAAAGTAATACCAGTTATGAAAACAGCACAACAACAACCGATTAAGAAACCTGCTTCATCAAGTAGCAGTGATTCAGATGATGATGATAAACCAGCAAACAAGACTCCTGTTCCATCAAAGGGTAACTATTCTTCATTTCTAAAATATTTAACTCATCATTTCACTCTATTGACATAAAAAAGCTGCTATACCACCACCAGCTACTCTTTCAAGTACCAAGAAAAAGGATTCATCATCAGATTCTGATTCATCTGATGATGATACACAAAAGAAAGCACCTATAAAGGCACCAACAATTACGAAACCAGCACAACAATCAGGTAAAAAAGCTGTCTCATCAAGTAGCAGTGATTCCGATGATGATGATAACAAACCAGCCGCCAAGAAACCAGTCGTATCAAAAGGTATATATTCCTCTTCCATTCATACCCGATCAATTTCTATACATTCATTTTTTACAGCTACACCAACTGTAACAAAAACTGTAGCACTACCACCAGCTACTCTTTCAAGTACCAAGAAAAAAGATTCATCATCAGATTCAGATACATCAGATGAAGATACAACGAAAAAGGTACCAATAAAATCACCAATGGCTGCTAAACCAACTCAACAACCAATAAAAAAACCAGCTTCATCAAGTAGCAGTGATTCCGATGATGATGATAAATCAACAAACAAGAAACCAGTTGCATCGAAAGGTATATATCTTTTGAATCAATAAAACATCAGTATGGTGTTTCTTTATCTTTCTAGCACCAGTTACATCAGTTACTAAAAGTTCAGTTACAACACCTATGAAAAAGAAAGATAGTTCATCTGATTCTGATTCATCAAGTGATGAAGATAAGAAGAAAAAGACAATTACTGCACCAACTAAACCATTATCAACATCTACTCCAATTCAACAACCAATCAAAAGATCTGCTCCATCAAGTAGTAGTAGTGATTCAGATGATGATGATACTCCAGCAAAAAAACCAGTTACATCAAAAGGTAAAATGTTTCGAATAGAAAAGTATATAAATTATGATTTGTGTATGTTCTAGTTACTGTAACACCAGTAGCTAAAAAGCCTGTTGTATCGACACCAGTTGTTACATCAAATAATAAGAAGAAAGATTCATCATCTGATTC